CCCCAAAACCCCAAAACCCCAAAACCCCAAAACCCCAAAACCCCAAAACCCCGTGATATTTATCAAATTTGAAAATTAGAGAAATTAATAATGTTAAAAAGAACTAAACATTTTGGTGTAGCAGTTGCTATTTTATTGCTACTGTGAGGTCCTACACTAGCTCAGCTTGATGGAAACCTTGACTTGAGGCAGAGATGAGAGCGGTACGGATTTGGGTATGAAGAATACCAAGTTACTACTGAAGATGGATATATTAATACACTGATGAGAATCCCATATGCTCCAGATAATCAAGGAGTTTCAAACAAACCTCCTGTGTATTTGATTCCAGATGCTGCAACCACAGCTGAGATATTCACCCATCTTGGACCTGAGGACTCTCCTGCTTTTAACTTAGCAAATCAAGGGTTTGATGTCTGGCTTTCAAACCCAAGAGGGTCTTTGCATAGCCAAGCCCATGAAAGTCATGATCCTAATCTCCCTGAATCTGGGTATTGGGACTATGATCTGGTTTCATACAGACTTGATTATATGGCTGACATCACCACTATCAAGGATTCAACCAACTATCAAACAGTTGGGGTATTCGCCTTCTATAACGGAGCAATCTCATTGTCCTATGCAATGGCCATCGAGCCTGAATATTTTAGTAATAATGTCAATGTAGCTGCTTTATCAGCGTTCATTCCGACATACGCCCATTCTAATGCTCTTGTCTTCGGGATGGCAAGCTACACCAGGAACATCAATAACCTGTTGGAACTTAATGGAGTGGATGCTATTAGCCCAGACGGTCTCACCTTCATTCACAACACTCTATGCCAATTCAGTCCTCAGCTATGTAGTATGATAGATGGAGTAACGAACGGAGAAGCTAATCCTTTCATCGAAGACACAGATGGACTTCGAAATAGGTACCTCCTTGATTATGGTATGTTCCCACCGAGACTCAACAACCATATATTACAGAGCGCTGCTACTGGAGAAGTAACCTATTATGACTTTGGACCTGGAGAGAACCTAGAGACTTATGGTTCCGAAGATCCTCCCCCTATTTCTTACGAAAATACTAATAATCCTGTCGCCATGTTTATTGCCTCTGAAGATCTATCTTATGATCATGCAGATGACGAGTGGTATGCGAACTTAATAGGAGACAATCTGGTGTTTTACCAATATTATGATCTTTCTCATTACGGGTTTATTATTGGGGATACACAACTATATCTCCCTGACCTTGTGGAAGTTCTCTCCCAACACGCAGATCAAATAAACAGCTAAATACTGTTGGTACCAAAAATTGGACATCTATAAATTAATAGATAAAGTTTCAATTCCTGGTTTTCTATCGGGGTTTTGGGGTTTTGGGGTTTTGGGGAG